GAATATGAATAAATCAGACAGTGAAAACAGATAAAATGTACATGGGAAAGTGAACAGGGGTAACTTACGTGGCGGTAAAGATGTAATTCTAGTAGTAGAAATTGTTTCTGTGATGCCTGTTTTCATAATACATGTCTTATAAATGTGAACATTTCTTGCTTTGAAATTCAAAAACATATAGCTGAATAAAACTTTGCCACTTCATCAAAATAATAATCAAGCTTCTTAGTAACATTACAGAACCAGGTGGCACAGTCTTCACAATGAACAGATTTTCACAAAAGATTTTGGTTCAGGTTCACAGCAAATTGATAAACTCAAGCTAATCAAACACCCTTACCTCTCTCTCCTGAACTTCCTCCTGAATAGTTTCTTTGCTGTCTTAAATCATCCATTCCATGCTAAATAAATGTAGCAAAACAATTACAGATCATTCAAATCGGTGTGATACGAAGCAGAATCAGTCTAGATCTAGACATACTCAAATAGAGCTTTAAGGTGATTCTACTCAAGGCAAGAATATTATAGAATGGAAGATTATTCCACACCATTTCCAAAAAGTAATTACAGATGACACATATACCCAAATTCAACTTTAATGAAAAATAATGCCTAAAGGACAATTTTTTGCTCCAACAAAAGACTAGCAAGTACAACTATAGTCTCATATTTACAGTGGAGAGAGTATAGCAATTTATCACCACCCCACCCTCCTCACATCTTCAGTTTCAAACGCAAGACCAGCTACTGTTTCCCTGCAAACCACAATACATGAAAAAGCTCAACACAGTGAATGGTCCCCCATAGACAAATAATGCCTTTATTTGCTAGTGGTGATTGTCTGTACAGGGCTTTTCATCCCTGAATTCAGAATCAGTTCAGATTTTAACCCAACTTCTTCCCCACATTTACTGCGAAGTTTAGAATAAAACAATGAAACATTAAAAACGTCTCATAATTAATAAAATGGACCCATAATTTATCATTAATATCACAAAAACAAACGTTTTGGTTTCTACTGTTTCAGTCTGGGTTTTTGTCTTTGGTGCAGTCCCGCACAGAAACAAAATACAAAGAAATATGTTTACAAAAAAATATTTTACAAAAAAATTTCAAATAAATATTTGAGGAGAGCAACGGGAATCATTTAAAAAGCAATAATTATGAATAAATAAGAAGGAATATATATATTTACATAGCCTAACAAAGCACAAATGTATTGCTTTTTGTTTATCGTTTCTCTTTTTTGTGATTAAAAGAAAAAGAGTTAGAAAGCAAAATCATTAATAAAATGTTTTACCTTTGATCCTTGAGAATCTGAAGAGAAAGGGATTTTAGATAAAGTCCACTTAAGAGTTGCCTGTGAACTTCACCTGTGCAGTATGAATGTTGTTACCTGACTTCTGCTGTTTTCTTTCTGATATTCTCTCTCCTTTGACCAGCAAGTCTCCACAGGAGTTCTGGGTAGGATTTTATGCCGAGCCACTCCCCTGTCTTTTGGCAGGTACACAGACAGACTTTTAAAAAAGACAATACCCTCAGGAATCACAATTTTATCCTTTATGTTCCAGCAAACTAAAGCTTTAAGACATGTTCAGGTGAACACAGGTGTGGCTGGATGTATTATCTATGCGTCAGTAACTTCGCCTAGACTGACACAAAGAAAAAAAAGTTTAATCTACTACTGTTGGTATAGCAGCATAAACAGGACAGAAAATGCATGTTGTTCAGCTTGAAGCAATTAATCTAAAATATTTTAGAATCAATTATTTAAGCCATTGTATAATAATGTTCCATGTAGGAAGTTAGGTCATAAAGACTTCGATTACATTATATAACTTTGGGAGGCTCATGCTTTGTCTCTTATTAAAATACACTACAGAAGTGCTTTATGAGCAACATACATATTGCATTTCAGATATACATTCTCAGGAAAAAAGTTACAAAGCTGCCACTTGTACAAAAGCAGTACATATTAAAAGTACATATTAGTACCTAAATTATACATATTAGTACCTTTTTGAAAGCTCATACATTTCCTGGGAATCAAAATATGTTTAAATATACCTTTCAAATCACTACAAAGAAAGTATGCGTCTTTAAATAAACTGTAGGAACATGACTATAATAATTTTACTTTAGCTGAATGTGCCAGCTGATTACAGACAGAACATTTGTATGATTTGGGGTCATATGAGGATATGTCCGGCTTATATTACCAGCAAGAGTTTAACATCCTTACAGAGTGTTCATGCATACCATTTTAGCCAGTCCTATATGATACATATTAAGTGATTTTATTACTCATTATCTCAGTGAATAATCCGAAGACAGCTGGATCAAAGAACAATGCAAATGTTCCAAATGGAATTCAGGCACATACAAGTTTTCCGAGGGAAAAGGGTGTTGCTTCCCTTGGGATTTACATGCCATTTCTATGGATACATTTTTTTCCCAGTGGGCAGTGGGCACACCCTGCTGATACAAAATGCACATTAGTCACAACATTTTTAACTCCACCCCATATGCATCTTTCTCTCTTTGCACATTGTATTAGACCCCATACAAATTTTAGAAACGTGAGAGAGCACGGTTGCATGACTATACAGCTATTAAACTATTTTAATTTCATAGACAAGTTATAACAAGACAGAAAAAATTCCCAGTAGAAGTAGAAGAGTAATGGGGTTGAAAAAAAAAAAAAGAACATGAATGAACTGAACCACCAATGTAATCATCTTAATTTGAAAAGAGAGGATTTTCTTTTTTTCTTCTTAAATGTTTTTGCAGTGGTTTTGTGCAAGATGCTTACTGAGTATGTTTGTTATACAAGCTACATAATTAATGGATTCATCACTATAATGATTCAGAGTTTGATTCATTTATTTCGACATCTTTCTTTTTGATTTTATACATGGGTTCATTCAAACCGTGTCACCAATTTCACCTCTGATTCAGTTTTGGAATCCTATTAGTCCCTTTCATCTGCACAAGACAAGAAGACTGAAGAAATATGTTTAGATCATATGTTGCTATTCTTTATGTATGGACATCTATACTTTTCAATTGATATAGCTGATTGATATAACAGATATATAGTCAAATAGTCAAAACCTTTTTCTGTTATTATGTGATTTAAAAAATAATAAACTATGAGGTGCTGCATTCTGCATTTGCAAGTTTTAACCAAATAATTATCTTCACAATTCTACAATTTCTCCTTCAACCATGTTGTCTACCTACAGTTAGTTTAAGATAATATGGGTTTATTAATTTGTTCACATTGACATTTTTGTGTAAGTCCTAACTGTGAATGGTGCAAAATATTATTAGCCTATATATTATTAAAAAATATACAAAAGAAATTATATTATTTTAATAACTTACAAAGTATATTATTACATTATAACTATTCTATTCTATTCTATTCTATTCTATTCTATTCTATAAATTACCTCTAATAAATTAGAAAACAGTTCTTGTAGACTACGTTTCCCATGATTCATGATAATGACAATGACGTATTAGGCGGCCCGGAAATGACGATGAAATATGTGGCTCTTGCACCAATTTCAAAACACACCAAGAAGAAGACAATTTCAGAACATCAGAGTGCCTACTGATAACATTACAGCTGTAAAGATCATATTCACCTAGAGTTGCTTCCGATTGTATATTTACGGCAGAAGATACGTAAATAGTACCCTGTCATTTTAGAGTTATGTAACTGTTTTCTCCTCTTCATAGCGATTTCATATGATGTGATCATGGAGACAACCCCGATAAAACTGACACCAACTAATGAAAATACACGAAGTACAGCCCAGTCTTCTTCAAGCAGGTCAAGCGCTGCCAAGGTAACGTTACAGCTTACTGCCTTTTTGAAATCTAATATTTTCAGATGAACCACGTTCATACGTGTGAAGAGCTTATTTTCCACAAAAAAATAATCACTGACTGTGTCTAGACTCACATATGAGCATTGTTGATATTTTGTTGACATTTTTTGCTTCAGTCCATGAGTTCCTCACTGAAGGAGAAGTTAAAAAGATCACGCTACTCATTCAGATCCCCCCACAGTGTGGTTAAACGCCTTATAATCGAAGATGACGATCAACCACAGGCCTCACAACTGGGAGACACTAACCACAGTTTGACCGACGACAGAGACCCTGATACTGATGTCAATCGGAATGATATGAGGGAGAAAATATACTGTTCACTTCACAAAGCTGAGCCTGCACAAAAAGACTCGATTCAGCAATATGAAGAGCTAAGAAAAGCAGTGAAGGAGAAATCAGAAACCTTGCGAAGATTAAAGATGGTCAGGATGTATAGGAAAAAGGTAAACATTTATTTCTTAATCAAGTATTGCAATTAACACGAATGATGATGTTCTTTAAGTTTTTCACTCTTTGCGGTCTTTTCTTTCAGAATGACCTGACCCAGCTGCAGAAGCTCACAGACAAATGGAGATCCTGTGCTCAGTCAGTGCTGTGTGAATTACAGAGTGAATTACCCACAGAGGGAAAACAAGTCAGTCTGTCTCAGCTTATAGACAATTTAGGCTTAGATGACAAAATACTGCACTTTGACAGGACAGAGGAAGACTTCACGGACAACTGAAATGTATTATTTGTATTCATTTTATTGACACTATTTAAATGGGTTGTAAGAAGCCTTTTCAGACCAGGTCATTCATCAATACATTCAGATAGGAAGACTATTCACATTATACTCTATATAACTTATAAGACATTGCAGTGTGAATTTTGGTAGGTTTATCAAACTGTATTGTAATTTATTTTACTTGTGTTGTCATTTCACAACTTTGTATTGAAATAATTGTATTTTTCAACCAAAAGCTGTAATAATAAATCTCAGTTATGTATCCTAAATCAGTTGTAGTGTAGTTGAGAAAGAGATGGGAAGTTCTTCATACGCAGTTTCTCAGCCTCCGCTCTCAGTATGAGTATCTCGTCAGATTGTGCTCTGACTGTGTTCAACAGCTTCTTTCTTAAGATGATATCTGGGTAGTTCTTCTCTGCCTCTGTGTCTTGGTTATCTCCCATTGCTGCAAAACAAAATAATATTTGTGAATAATATAAATGAGTTATTGGGCATTATACATGAACCATGAGCAGAATTTACAGTACAAATCATACATAAAAATTTAAAAATTAAAAATTCATTTAATTAATTGGCACAATTTACTCTGCTGATCAAAAGATTTTTTAATGCTTTGAAAAAAAGTCTCTTATTCTCACCTAGGCTGCATTTATTTGATTAGTAATATTGTTACATTTTATTATAATTGAAAATAACTTTTCTATCTGATTCTGAATATATATATTACTCCAGCCAATACTCCAGTCTTTATTGTCACATATGGTCCTTCAGAAATCATTCTTATATGCTGATTTGGTGCTCAATAAACATTTATTATTATCATATCAATGTTGAAAACGTTTATGCTGCTTAATATTATTGTGGAATCCATGATAGTTTTTTTTTTTAATAAATAGAAAGTAAAAAAAAAAAAAAAGCATTTATATGAAGTAAAACATTTTAAATGCATTTACTGTCACTTTTGATCAGTTAATGTGTCCTAACTGAATAATAATAAAAGTATTCATTTCTTTAAAAAAAATAAATGCTTTTATGAATGATTAACACAGTAATCTCTCATGTTTCATCATAGGCCTCTTGTGCTCTAAACTACTAAGCAGTCTATTTTTGCTAAAAACAAATTGTTACTTAAAACAGTTGTTTCTTTAATGGGGCAAGATATAAAGTAAGTTACCAACAGCCTCGTAAATATTTCTTCTCTCTGTGACAGTTATCTCCATGTCAGCCAAGTTGAGGGCTGCGTTCTTCTCTTGCATTTGCACACCTTGTCTGTCCAGGTGCTTTATCTGTTTCTTGAAAGTCTCAACTTTCTTTTGCTGAGTCTGGGCAAAGAGTGGAACAAACCAAACTTTTATATGTCAATGAATTTGATTCATGTAATTATCCAGACTTTACAACTTTCTGTAAAGAATTTACAACTAAGGAACACCTGTGCTGAGAAATATGCATCTGGAAAAGTTACTCTATGCTTAATATCTCCGCTAGGTACTTAAAAAAATCATGAGCAAGTTTACCGTTTTCTGTAAATCTATGGTCGTCTACAGAGTTGCGAGCTGCTTTGACACCCTGTTGTCATTCTTTGTTTCATTTAGGTACTGACATTAGAAAAAAAAATTGTAATTGTAATATTTTGTCATTCAATTTCACTTTAAAGCAAAGACAAAGGTAGTCCTGAGTCATAGTGTCTTCTTGTCTTAGATATGTTAAATAATTCCTTTTCAATTTTCACTAGCTTACTTTATCAATCATATACCTGCCAGGTAAAAAAAGCACTAAATGAATGAAGATTATTTCAACCAATATTGCGATGCGCAGGGCCTGTATGTCTCTGGCTTTATTGCTGAGATCCTCCAGCTGCATTCTCATTCTCCTGTGATCCCACTCCTGCTGTATGATTCCTTAGCGGAAGTCTTTACACTCCACAATGCTGGCGATCTTCTGATCTCCTAAAGCCTGATAGGTAAACCAGTAATAGATAAGTTAAAGGGGTCATATGATGCGATTTCAAGTTTTCCTTTCTCTTTGGAGTGTTACAAGCTGTTCGTGAATA